TCACGAGGGACGCGCCTATGATACAATTCTCTTACAACCCCTGCTACACCGCGACTCCGGCGCCTGCAGGACCCGTAGGCTCTTCGAGGGCCAGGATGAGCAGGTGCGTTTTTCAAACGTTTGTCACGTTGGCAAGCAGCTGACAACTTTGTTTTTTCTGTTCACAGACGTCAAACTGTCACCAAAGCACTCTGTCCCAAGGGCCTCAAACACTGTGCCCTTCCGTCTGGCTCCTACGAAGTGAGCTTTCGTTCTTTTTCCTCGGCTTGACTCCTACTGACCAGACTCGCGGGCTTCCAGTGTGTGTTTGAGTTTGAGGACTGTGAAGCCTAGCAGCCAAAGATAACAAGTCACGTACTTCTCAAGCACAACTTGCTGAATGTCATCATCTGTGCGGCTTTGAGTGAATTGAGGCTAGCGCGCACAGCCTGTTTGAGGCCACTGTAACGACTCGAGTACCCCGTCCTATGAGACTTGTTGACTGAGGAGAAGGAAGGGTTGGAGTCGAAATCCGAATAAGGCGGAAGGGTAGGTAGGACCTCGGGTAAGGCGGCGTGGTCTCCGAAGTCTCAAGGGTTGCAAACCTCTCGAAGTGAGAATGGAATGTCGAGTCTGCCCTTAGAATATCAAGATGAGGAAACAAGAGAGAGCTACACAAGAGTCCCTTATTTATACTCTTTCCTCTTCTCTATTTCCGAGCCCTCCGAAGTCGTGAAATCCTCTTCCGAGGTCAAAAAGCAATTTCCGAAGTGCTGTTCCGGAATTCGGGCTGAGCGGCATGGGTCCATACCTCGGAGATTCGTCCGGACTTTTCCTGAGCGCGGATTTCGTCTCGCTATTGCTGGTTGCTTCGGATCCGACTGACTGGGAGCGGAAGTGGGGAAGGTCGTTCCGGAAATGGGTCGGAGAGTTGGATATGGGCGATGAGGAGCTGAGGGGAGTGTTGGGTGGAGCTGGTGGACTGAGCGTGGGCGTTGCTGTGCAACAAGGACGGCGCGAATTGGGTTTCCGAAGTGGGCTCCCCTTTGTTCCCGCTTTCCGTCACCTTGTATCCGGTGGCGAATCCTTCGAGTCGTCACAGCCACGTGTAAGCGTTGAGAAGTCGTGCTTTTGTTTGAGCTGGATGAGACTTTCTACGCTCAGGGTCTTTTCCCAGCTACGGGGTTTTTTCTCAAAAGACACGTGTTCATCATTCCGGATCTCTGTTCCAAGGTCCACGGACTGGGTGCTCAATCTCCCTGGAAGTCGACGAGAATCGGCCCCGCCCAGGTTTCACGCGCTTCCTCTGCTTCGTCCTACCATCCACTTCTGCTCATATTTTGATATAACTTTTCGAGACAACCATCAAGATCGTGCGAGAAATGGTGTCGCTACTCCGCCAGCTCGTCGACTTGACCGCGTCCGCCGTCGAAGCGAGGCGAGTCACGTCGTCCATCGCTCGCCACTCTCGCTCGCCGTTCCACATCTTACACTAAGTTTTGATGCATCCAGATTGGACCACGACCTTCTCCTTATCAAGCACTCTCCACCACCAACTCTCTCATCACCCGAACGACTTCCTCCCGAGCTGTTGATCCAGATCTTCCTCGAGGACGCTCGCCACCTCCTCGCGCTCGCAACGCTCTCTCGTACCTGGCACTCCTGGGTCACGCACCAAGTCTAAAAGTTCCTCTGGTGTGCAAACTACACGATCGCAAGCAAAGCATTGAGGACGTTGGAAGCGAGCGAGGCGACGGCCGGGATCGTCAGGGGCGCGCTTTTGATGGACCACTTGACGCTCGCGCCGGGGAGCGATTTTGGGGGGTTGGCGACGAGGTATTTCGAATGCTGCATGGAGTTGATTTACTTGGAGATGGGAAGCGTGAGGGGGGGTTTGCCGTTCGAGGTGCTCGCGAAGGGTCACTGTGAGTGCCACGTCTCTCTGGTCTACGAGCGCGTTTCGGGAGGGACGCTGATGGTGAGCTGATCTCCCTTGCAGCGCTCAACACGGTTTATCTACTCGGATTCAGGCTCAGGGCATCCTCCCTCCTCACACTTACACCAGCACGTTTCGACCTCCCGCTGCTCACGCACCTCTCGCTCCACTCGATTGAAATCGACCGACGCATCCTTCCGTCCCTCTTCCACCCCGACACCTTCCCACACCTCACTTCTCTCACCATCATCAACTGCTCGCTCTCATACTGGAGGATCTCGCTACCACTCCCACTCCTGAATCGCACGCTCCACGTCCTCCCCGCCCTACCCGCTGCCATCGTCGTAGCCCTGCGCCACCCCATCCTCACCGCCCTCCACCTTGGCCGAGACTCCTCCGACGCCCTCATCTCCGAACTCGTCGTCGACATCTCCTCCTCGTGCTCTCTCAAACTCCTCTCCCTCGGACCTGGCTCGTTCACGACCGACGGGATCCCCGTCCTCGCTGCCTGCTCCTCACCCCTCCTGCACCTGCACCTCCCCATCAACAACTCTCGCGCCTCCGAGCCCATCAACCCAGATCACGCAGAAGATGCTTTCCTCAACTTTAGCTCTGCCGTCGTAAGAGGTTGTGTGAGCGTCAGTGCGCTCGAGTGCGTCCACCTCTCCAGTGCGTGGAGGGACGAGAGTGTGGAAGGGTGGAGGGAAAGGATGGAGGATTTGTGTTGGGATCAAGTTGGTGATTGAGGAGAAGAGGGACTGCGTGGGGATGGGCCCGGATGTCCCGTGGGAGAAGTGGGATTTGAGTTGGTTTGTTGGGGAGGCGAGGGCTGGTGCGGGGTAGACATGAGCTTTGAAATGAAACTGTACACGTTGATTGATTGATGAACAGCTTGAAGTACAGACGCTTCTCAAAATACCAGCCAGGTTGATCTTCGCTACGCGTACTTCTTCCCAACTTTGGGCTCCACCACAGGTTGTCCCCACGAGAACCCCAGATGCTCAAACCCTCCAACACTGTCCTTCAACACACCATACCCAACCGTTGTTCCGACATTGCACCTCTCGCTACCGTGACACACCTTGCCCGCGCACCCTCTGTCACAGGCTGACGTGGCGGGACTGTTACACGTAGGTACATTGGACAAACTTGCTCACATGCGGTGTTCAGCAGGTACACGAGCACTTAGAGTCAGTGGAGAGCAGGGATCCGGGTTGCAACCGAGAATAGACCTTGCGTGGATGGATCTACACTCGCGTGGCTTCGAACCCCACTGGTCGCAGCAGGTCCTTTTTGCTTTGTCATACGTCTTACTTTTTGAATCAACGAGGTGCAGCTGCTTTGCGTCGTGTCTCGCTGGCTGATTTGTGCAGGAAACTGAAGGCGCGCGGCACACACACAGTTGCGCTGTTCAACTCCGCTTGACTTGAGTCACGCACCAAGTTTACTCCTTGCTTTTGAGTAGCACAATGTCAGGGACCGTTAGACCTGTGCTCTACTCCTTTTGAGCTGGAGGTTCTGGCGGGTTTTCTGCCCTTGGTCTTGTGCGGAGCGCTAAGTCAAAACAGTGGCTGGCCAGTGACAAACGGTCAAAATTCCCTCCGCTTCCTCATTAGCACAATCTTTAACAGTTGAGCTCGAGGCACTCTGACATTTGAACAAAAACAAAGGTCAGACCAGATGGATCACCCACCATCAGCAAGTGCAAACACGCCCGATTGGCGCAAAGCTCTCCGACACCTCTGACTGCTGTGTAGGAACACTCTGAGAGATACCTCCTGCTTCTAAGCTACAGGAGTCTCCCCGCTCAGCTCAATAGCTCACTGACCAAAGTTTAGTTAAAACTGCTTGCACCTCTCTGACGACGGTCAATATGAGAGGACCGACCGGCGGAATGGGCGGCCGGAGCACCGCTACAGAAACTCGGGCCGTGCGATCGAAAGACCTTTTTTTCTGTCTTGTCCCTCACAAGTACTAACCCTCACAAGTCCGAGGCTCTGTACAATAGGCCAGAGCGCACTTCTTGTCAAACGCCTGGATGACCAAGGGGCCGAGGCGGCGCTTTGGGTCAATGACAAGTTCCGGGGATCAGAAGTAACGTGGAGGCTGGATCCTTGTACACGTGTGGACTGAAACACTCCATTGCCCTCAGACTTTGTTGAGCGCATTCAAACAACAAGCTCATGGCAACCGCTGAGCTTTTTGTAACGTCCTTAACTCAAAGCAGCTTCCATGGATAGTTTTGCTGCCGTGACATGCTTTACACAGCTGTCTTTTGGAGACAAAGAGTGGGAGAGTGTGCCTATTGCTGAGGCAGAAAATATGAGGTTTGTTTCAGAGTGTGATGGTTTGGTTCCCACTGTGGCAAAACACGTGGCATGCTCATCCATCTTAACTCCGGTCCGCCTGGTTTGAGCCTTTGTTCGAGAGAGCTTGAAACTCCAACGCCCAGGAGGTCTTGATAGGCTTGCTCCCCCAATATGACGCTGTTCGCTTCTTTCTCATTCCCTTCTGCCAGTCCAGCAAGTTGCCGTAAAGCAGTCCAGCTTTTGGCCAGTGCTCGCATCAACTGACACCATTGTGTGGAGCAGATGAGCAACTTTGAACGAGTCGAACCATCTCCTCAACAGCCAGGAACTGTTTCCACCACCCAAGATACGTAGGGAAGATGGGCCTGGCTGGTGTCTTGAGGGTCATCTGTACTTTGATCTGTCAACCAATCACTCACCGTGTCCAGCTGATTTCAATGCCCGATGAGGAGGCGGAGGGAATTTCGACCATTTGTCACTGGCCAGCCATTGTTTTGACTTAGCGCTCTACACAAGACCAAGGGCAGAAAACCCGCCAGAACCTCCAGCTCAGAAGCAGTACAGCACAGGTCTAACGGTCCTTGACATTGTGCAAGTCAAAAGGAGGGAGTAAACTCGGTGCGTGACTCAAGTCAAGCGGAGTTGAACAGCGCAACTATGGGTGTGCCGCGCGCCTTCAGTTTCCTGTGCAAATCAGCCAGCAAGACACACCCCAAAGCGGCCGCACCTTGTTGATTCAAAAAGAAAGACATACAGCAAAGTAAAAAAGGACCTGCTGCGACCAGTGGGGTTCGAACCCACGCGACTTGCGTCAAGGGATGAATTCAGCAAAATATACTTAAGACCCTCGCCTTAACCACTCGGCCATGATCGCAAGCATTCTATTGGCCGATCCTCAGTGGTGTTCTCCCCATCATCGTGAGCAACATGCAGCTCCCGCCGATTTTTCTGTACTTGAGATGTTAGATACGAAAAAAGGCTGATATGTTAGATAGAAAAAAGCCGATACTCCACCATTGCTCGCCTCCTTCCCACCGACTAGCCCGCGCTCTCCCGCCCAGCCAGCAAGATCCACTAGCTTGGTGTGCGTAAAGGCATTCAACCCTGCACCCCTTCTTCTCCCTTGTAGAGCTTTTCTGTAATTGAGATGTTAGATACAAAAACAAGCGCCCTTTTCAAGATGCCATAGGCAATACTGCTCAGCGGGCGGTATCCGTGACACCCTGAGTACAAACCGCTGCGGCCCCATCACATCGCGTCAAGGGGCTTTTTCTTTCCTCAACCCTTTTTGTCGGAGCTTCAATATCCGCATAAACACGCGTGCACCGAGGTTTTGAGCGCTACAGACATCCTCGCGAGCGCTATAGACATCCTAGCGGCAAGCAAGATCATGATAGGTAGAACAATCGCTTGGTGATTAACAAAAAGAGTAACAAAAGGGAGAGTAGCCAAGGTAAACCGGGAGTCAATTGAGAAAGGAGGAAAGCTATTATACGGGGAGCCGAGAGGGATGGCCATGCGACAGAAAGGAGAAAGGGGCTCGCGGTAAACAAAAAGAAACGATGCAAGATGATGGGGTAATCGGTGAGAGGTGCGCTCCGTAAGCGATGGAGGTGAAAGAGGAGAAGAGACGAGGTATAAAGAGCGTCTACATCGAGATCGGCTCGGCCCAGATCCATCGTTCCTGCACGCCACGACGTCCCGTCAGCGCCCAGCTCCCCCAGGGAGCAGAACGGCGCCAGACTCACCTCCTCATAACCCTTAAGTGTATCCTCCAACAAGATCTGACACCGCTTGGAGACGTACACAGTCTTGTCGGTCGTCTGCTGACGAATCTCCTTGACGTTGTCCTCCTCGAGCGGCTTCTCGACCATCTCCGCCAACGACTCGACGGCCATCTCGAGATCGCTGCACATTCCAACCCCACCATCAGCCTCTATTCTCCACCCCCAAACGAAAAGGAAGGTAGGACGCACTTCTGGTTGTCCTCAAACATCTGCGTCTGGTTGTTCTTCTCGAGGTAGAACGCCATCGCGTACGTCCACTTGAGCACGTTGCGGCACCTCGACAGCGTCTCGACTGCCTTGGCGAGGAACTGGCACTCGATCCAGCTCAGCCCTGAAGACTCCTGCATCGCCTCCATCTTCTTCTCCGTGCGCGACATGAGCTCCTTCTCGAGCTTGATCGACTGCTCGTGGTTCGCGTAGCGGTTGTAGTACTGTCGTAGCCCCTCGAGGGTCAGCGCTCATCCCCACTCCGAGCCAAAGAAAGGAATGAACGCACGTGAAGGTACCTCTCCAAGCTCGCCCGACTCTTGCTCTGAGCGTCAAGGTTCTTGTCGCCCTTCTCCTCGTACCTCGCGCAGTTGTACCACGACGTGCCGTGCTCGCTCCACGGACCCATGCAGACCCAGCAGAACTCCTGCGGTATCATCGTCCGTCAGCTCCCATGACTCCATCCCGAACGAGCTGCCCGTAAGATCAAGACGCACCCATTTGCACTTCTTGCAGGTCATGTGCTAGCGACGTCGTATCACGTCAGCAACCCCCTCGTCTTCAAACCGAGCCCAAGCACGTAAAGAGCTGGACTCACGTTACATCCTCCATTCTTTTCGATCGTCGAATGACACTTCGTGCACTCCTTCGTGTTCGCCGAGATCCAATTACTCGTTTCCGAGTCGTCCGCACACTTCTTCAGCCACCGCTTGACGATCGGGCAGCAGCACGGCTCGTGATTCTGCTCGCCACAGCCGAAGCAGAAGGCGTTGCCGCAGGTGCATTCGACGGAGGGGATGATGGTGTCGAGGGAGCGAGAGGGGACGGAGCACTCGATGGCGTACTCGCAGTTTGGGGCGGGGCACCAGCGGAGGGAGGAGGTATCGTCGACGTAGGTTCGGTTGAGAAGTGTTCGGTATCTGCATTTGTCAGGAAAAGAATCAGCATCGAAGAAAATGGAAAGCAGAAAGGGGAAGACGCACCGCTCGAGCGTCGCGCCCTCGACGAGCAGCTCGACTGTCTTCTCGTCAACAATGACGCCGCACTTGCCGCCCATGCATTGAATTCTCCGCGACTCGCTCTCGTCCATGATCTTCGAGGTGAGGTATTGCGAGTAACAGTCCTTGCAGACTGTGAAAGGGTTGGCGTACAAACCAAACGTCAGCTCCTGTTCATTCAGCCCCTCTCGCACGGCTCCGTCCGTATCGCCGGACTCTCCCGCCCAACGCCTAAAAAGCAGAAAGACACGCACAGCGGTGGTCACAGCTCATAGCCAACGTCTCCTTGGTGCCGTCGTCGTCGTAGCAGATGTCGCAGACGAACCCGCGCACGCGCTTCAAGCGAGGTTGGGAGCCGCCCTCCTGGATGCCGGCTTGTGCGAGCGTCTTGGCCGAGTTGGCAAAGTATTGCTGTGAGGGTCGTTGATGATGGTAGGGGAAAGGATAATGAAGAGGTCAGTGCGCGTCCAAGACGTAAAAGGAATGGCAGACGGGTGTCGAGAGACAAGGCACGAGCGAGCGAGACATGGCGGCTTACCTCGATGAGCTTCTCCTTTTTCCACCCAAAGAACCTCAGCAGCACAGCAGCCTCCGCTTCCTTTACACAGCAACAAACAAACAAACAATCATCAGCCATCGCCACTCAAACTCCCCGACGGCGCGAGTCAAGTCGCACGAGCGATGCGCGCCGCCTCGGTCCCCCGCAGAACGCCCCCGTGCTCAGCTCTCGAAACGCACCTTGAGACCCAGCATGCCGCCCACGTAGTCGACGGCCTCCTTCTGCTGCTTCAGGAGCTGCTCGACGGAGAGGACCTTGAAGTCGACCTGGGACGCGGCCGAGCCAGCGGCGTGCATGCCCGTGCTGGCCCTGCCTTTGCCCTTTGTCTCGGCAGAGTAGCCGAACCCAGAATCAGAGATCGACCCGCCGTCCGAGTCCGAGTCGGGGAAGTCCATGTCTGTATGCCGACAATCCGGGATACAGCGAATTTTGGAGGTGAGGATCGAGAGAGAAATGGACGGTGGCGGCGACGCGAGTCAGCAACGGCACGCGCGGAAGCTCGAAGAAGGAACCGTGGACCGGGACTGACCTGCTTCGTCCATGCTCTCGTCCTGAGCATCAAAGAGTTCGTCGCCAGAGAGATCTGACAGGACGCTGTCCTCGTCCGACATGGCTGCTGCTCGTGCGAGTCCGGGGGCTGTTGGGGCGGTTGGAACGGGGGATCGGCGCGCGTTCGAGAAGCGGTCGCGCAGAGGTGGTTCGCTGTAGATTTAGTGCGAGTTGTGGCGCTGGATCGTGTAAGTCGGCGACGCCTCAAAGTCGTGCGAGAAATGGGAGGGTTGTTGACTGGCGGAGATAGAGGAGCCTCGCTTAGGCGCGTCAGGCCGACTCGAAGTTTAGGGGGTCGAGGCCTGTTTTTTTCTCTTCGAAACTTCTCGCACAATCGACTACCAACCCTCTCATTCTTTACATTCCCTCCATGGAAACATTTTGAAGATCACTGGTTTGTGGAGCGCTCCTTTTAAGTCGCGGCGTACCCTCCACCAGACTGCACTAGCGGTGACGTGGCGATTCTCTCCCCGCTCCTGCTACACCATCCCGACTGATCGCGTAGGACAGCGGCATGCGAAGGTCCTCATATGGCTGAAGAGGTTAAAATTTCAAGCTCCAATCCTTGGCCGTTGTGCGAAACCCTTGGACGACGTGTCCATCGTCAGGCATCGCCAAGGGTATGTCAAAACTCCGCCCTCCCACGATTTTCCCGCAACTCTCGGAAACAGCATTGATGATAGTTTCAACTAGTTTGTTTTTGTATCTATGCACCCAATCTCCCGGCACCCTTTTCGTCTCTCCCTCGCCATTACGCCTTGACGGGCTTGAACGATTCCGTCTTGCCGATCGCGCGGAAGCGCTTCTCCATCGTCGTGCGCTTGACGGCGAAAGTAGAGTTGCCCTTGGCAATGGCACGGAACGGCTCAGGTTCGCGCTTGACGAAGGTGCCGTTGACCTTGGCGATGGCGCGGAACGGTTCCGGCTCGCGCTTGATGAACGTCGAGTTGCCGCCCTTGGCAATGGCGCGGAATCTGGATGACCATCGAATACATTCATCAAAGTAGTCCATGAATCCGAATTTTAGAAAATCGACTTACGGCTCGGGCTCCCGCTTGACAAACGTGCCGTTCTTCGAGGCGATGGCGCGGAAAGGCTCGGGCTCGCGCTTCACAAAAGTGCCGTTCTCGTGGGCAATGGCACGGAATCTGAATATACCGAATGAGATGTTAGATTCAGTTTCTTACATGGATTGATACTAGCGACAGTGAACGTACGGCTCAGGTTCACGCTTGCCGAACGTCGAGTTGCCAGCCTTTGCGATGGCACGGAAAGGCTCGCGCTTGCCAAAGGTGGAGTTGCTGCCCTTGGCGATGGCCCGGAACGGCTCAGGCTCAGGCTCACGCTTCACAAAGGTCGAGTTGCCCTTGGCGATGGCGCGGAATCTACAGAGATCAGGTGACGTGTTCAGCTGTCTCCTGTTTCCGTCGACAAGCGCAGGAAGAAAAGGGACGAACGGCTCAGGCTCGCGCTTGTGGACCTTGTTGGTCTCCTTGGCAGCGACAGTGGTGGTAGTAGTAGAGGAAGCAGCAGCGGTGACAAAGACGCCGCCAATAGCACGAAACCTGGGGAGGGCAAGGATTGTCTCAGCTGCGGTTCGGACCCCATGGGCACACGTTCACAACCCAGTCCACCAGAATTGCACTCACCTCTTCTCCTTGGGCTCGACAGGCTTGAAGGAGCCGGATCCACCAATAGCACGGAACGGCTCGGGGGCAGCCTCACGCTTGTGGAAGGTGCCGTTCTTCTGCGCGATGGCGCGGAAAGGCTCAGG